GTTCCTCATCTCTCCTTGAATGTTCATTCAAGGCCGGGAGACGATCTCTCTTCCAAAACATAGAAGCCTAGACTGTATAAATAATTATGCATCCCTTTGCTCTGGGCCAGATGCCTGAAGCTGCCCTAGGTGGTTCTCTGTTATTCTCTTTTATTGATAACTTCTTTAAAGACAACAGTTTGTTGTAACTCAATTATTTGCTCAATCCGTCAACAGCATTATACATTTTCACAACAGCTGTGTTCAATATATGCTGTTATGACCGGGCTCAAAAGGCCACAACAAAAGGGAGATACACCATGGTAAACGGTTAACATGTTAATTAAAGTATGAGGTATGTAGTCTGTGGTTTCAGTAGTGTGCAGGATGATGGTCGCATGAATGTATGTGTGAAGGTGTTGTAATATGCAAAAACAAGATAAATACCACAAAGCAAAAGTCCAACCAAAGAAGACCAAACTAAAGGGGAAACCAGGGAGCCAGCCCGCAGGGAGGTCTGACCTGGCCTCGACAGCAGCCTCCTGCAAAAAGAGACAACAGGTTACAAATAGCCTACACTCAAAAACACTGGGCCCAGGTGCTTTCAGTTATCACAATCAGCTCTTGAGCCACAAGAGAGAAAGAGAGACCACACCCACTCATGACCCCACAGGGCATCACAATGCATATGCTTTCAAGTGTACAAAACTGGCACAAAATTTTATTTGTGGTTCCCAGAGGTTGAAATCTCATAACCTGACTTTTCTTGTGAAGATTGTCACAACAACTATTGGATGGATTGCAATGAAATTTGCTACACACATTCATGCCACCATTACGATAAACTGTAATCACAAGATGTAGCCCTTTGTCTACTGTTTAAGGGTGATCTCCTCATGAGAAACAAAAAATTAGATTTCTGGAATTGACAAGGACAAACCAGTCACACATAGCTCTGGTCTATGTGAAGCTAACCCATATCATTTGAAGAGGGAGCATTTGTTCAGCCTGGCTCCTCTGAAGGACACACTTCATGGACCCTGGCCTTAGATACAGCCTGTGAATATTTCCTCTGAAATACAGGATGTAATGCAATTGCTGCTTAAAGTCCAAAGTCACAAAGAAAAAAAATCACTCATAGAAAGACAAGTGTGTTCAAAAGAAAAGTAAAAAGTAGAAAAGTCTCAACATTGGCTATGAAAGATGAAAGAGATGTAATATGCTCAAAGACTAGAATGAGACCAATGAGACAGGAAGAGCACTTTGCATATTCTGTGATAACCAATCAGATGCATTTGATGGTCTGATGTATCACAACCATCTCACCTCCTTCACTCACTGAAATACCAACAAATTTCTTAACATGACGAAATGTCAAGATGATCTTGTTATGGGTTACACTGCTTGTTCTTCATCAAGGAGTGCTAATTTATGATATCATTTCAGAATGCAAAATGGATAATTTAGCTTCATAACATTTCCACATCATACACCAACTGTTATTTTATATATTGTATGTTTTCATTTCATACAGATACAATGGTTCCAGTGACCCCCATTCAATTCAGTGACTCTGCGACCTTCACGTGTGTTTTGCCCGATGAAGAGCTGAGCAGTAGAAAACTCCACTGGTACAAGCAGCGTGCCGGGGATACTCTGAAATTAATCATGACACTGTGGAAATCTGCAAAACCTGAATATGCACCAGCATTTTCTGAATCAAGATTGAAGGTAAATACTGATAAGAATATTAGCAACCTGACCATTTTGAGGACAATTCAAGAGGATGAGGGAATGTATCACTGTGCAGTAACAGCATAATCCTGAATGGAGTGGGACATATCTGTTAGTAAAAGGAAATTATTTTCATTAAATTTATATCTGAGCTATACTGTACGTCACTGCTTCATAAGCTTTAAAATTTATTTTGGAGATTGCAAGTTTTTAACAGCTTTGTATCACACAGGAAACACTCAGAGGACATCAAACTATACTGTCATTCATGGGCCGACAGTATCTGATCCAGACCGTCCAGGAGACTCAATAACTGTTCAGTGTTCAGTCCTCTCTGACTCTGACAACAAGACTTGTCCAGGAGATCACAGTGTGTACTGGTTCAGAGCCGGATCAGATAAATCTCATCCAGACATCATTTACACTGATGGAAATGGACATGATGAATGTGACAAGAGATCTGACTCTCAGAAAAGCTGTGTTTATCGCTTCTTCAGGAACATCATCTCCTCTGATGCTGGGACTTACTACTGTGCTGTGGCCGCATGTGGAGAGATATTATTCGGAGATGGAACAAAACTGGACATTCAAGGTAACTGTATTTACATTTTTTTTATTGAAAATCTATATATTTAAGTGATAAATATATGTTCAGTGATAAGATTATAAGTCAAATCAAATTGATCAGGATCAACAATTTTTACATACAAATCATTTAATGAGGAGGGGACATTTTAAAAACTTATTTTTATTCCTTGCTAACAATTGTTGTTTTCTCTTTTTGATAATTTTCCAGGACCCAGTATTTGGTCAGAGAAGACCAATGCAATTATGTTTCTGCTGTCTGCTGTCTTGGCTATAAGTCTGATTGTTATAACCTTCCTCATTTACCCCATCAAGACAAGCAAGTGGTATTGTTCCAACGGTAATAGAGGTTACTTATGTTTCTTAAAAAATTAAAACAAAATTTAAATTACTGCATCCTTTTTTATTGTTACCTATATATTCTCTTTCTCATAATCCAGCCGCTGTCAACCTGCAACAAAACAGTGTTTTTTTATTCTTATTAAACCAGTTATGAAGCTTTTTTAACATTGTCATCTCATGTATTTTCTCAGAGAGATGAGGACACATGGATTTATTCTGCTGTCGTCTTTGGTGTGATGAAAGGTGTGAATTAGCGGTTAAGGTGGTGAACATGAACTGAAATGTCCCCTGTCCAAGTCTGGCTGGAGACGTTTGTTGCATTTCTCTCGCACATTTTCTGTTATGTCTCTACTGTCTGTAATAAAGGTTAAAAAATGCCCAGAAATACACAAAGTAACTTTTTCCAAGAAGAAGAACTCTATTTCTGTTAACATTGTTGTTTGGTAATGGGCCGAATATCAGAGCGGTTTAGAGGTATAAAATTAGTGAAAAAGAATGTGATAGACTGGATTATTGTTATTTTAATCCAAATAATAATTCGTATACATACTCAGTATCAGCTAGTACCCTGTAGTGAAACTGGTTTCAGAAGAGAGAAAGTCAGATCAGAGGTTATTTGAAAATGAGTTTATTAAATCATAAATGACTTTTGTTTGGAGAAAACGACCATATGGCCATAATATTTATGCATGTTGCTTTTTCTTTATTGTTTTTGTTGTGTTCTGTTTGTGAACAACAACAAAATCTGTGTCACATCAGAAGCAAACACAGATCTGTTGATGACACAGCTTCTCACAAAACGTGCTGACTTAACATAACAACTGAAAATCTAATGCTGTCGCATAAAATCAGCAAAATAAAAAAACTGTTAATTGAAAATATGTATATTTTGTTACACAGCATCATTATGGACACTCTTGTGTGAGTCTCTCCCTTCTTCTTCCCTCTTTTCTCTCTCCATGTGGATAAAATTGTGTGTCAAGACAAATGTTTCTGAGATTAGGGCATCATGAGAACTTAAGTCATAGACATCTCATCTTTTTTTGTAATTTCAGTAATGTCATCAATATATTTACATCTCTTGACTTTGATACATTATGTTGAGTTTATAATAGTTATTACATGAAACTGGTGATTAATTATACCAAGTAGAATTTTATTGAGTTTTTACACACAAAGGACACAAGTTCACTCTGACAGTTCACCCAAGAGCATGTTAAATTTTTTGGATTTCGCTGATGTGTTTATTTGATTAGCATCACCTTTCTGTCTGACAAGTCTGTCTTTTACATGTTGTCTGGATTAAATCAACAGTGAACAACAGCAATTTATTGACGTGATACAATGAATATGAGATTGTGTAAAGTCATTTGGTAATTAAACCCCAACGGGATGACATGATGCTACTTAGCAGAGTTTCAGGAGAAGGACCACACATCAATCATGTCACTCCTTCTTCCTCTCCACAAGGTTATGAGGGGGTCTGTCGTGCCCGGGTGCTACGGCAGATTTTCCTATCGTAGCTTCCCTATAACGCTTTCAAAATACGGATATCTAACAACTGCAAGCCTTGCACATCTTTCTGTTTTGTTCATAAATAAATCATTTAAACATATCTGTTGATGGTGTAGTCCTTGCTAGTTAAGTAGTATTTAATACAGGTGGTGACGCCATAGAGGTATAGAAATTCCCTGAATGGAGTCTAGACACGGGTGGTGGTGATGATGAAGGAATGAAAAAAATGAGGAGTACTTCTGCTGTGCTTTCAGTGGGCCTGCATTTGATGAGCAGGAGGTGATTGGGGTGGAGGAAGGCCGCTTTGATACTGAAATGAATGATTGGCTGGGCTGATTGTGGTAAAGTCACACCCATAGTCAACTGTTAAAGGGCAGGAAGAGAAAGAGTGTATGAGAGAGACTTGTGAATAAACGAAGCATAAAGATAGTCTTCCTTGTTGAACTTACGCTGAGCTTCATAAATCTTAATATTCTTGTAGGCACTCTTGAAAACGCTTTTTTTTTATTGTTCCCAGATGCATTTGATTTATAGACCTTTTCTCACAACAGATAGTTTGATTTCTCATACCAGGAAAAGCACAGGAAAAACTAATAACATTAAGGACAGGCCCATTGTTGTAATTATTGCAATGTGGCAATCAATGTTACTAGTTACGCCTGTGTTTAAGAAGTCTAAATGTCTGCTGTAAAAAAGGTCTTATCAATTTAGCACATTTTTGCCATGTGCGCATTGAGAAACAAAGTGAGAGAGAGTGACTAGTAGACAGACAGTCAGTGGTTTTCACAGTGAACTGCCGTGTATTTGCTGACCACAACTTCCCACAAGAAGCAAACAAAAATATATATGCAGCATTTTGTTACAGACACAATTCATCTATTTGTTAGACATCATGTTAAATACAATGTACTTTGTAAACTATGTTGGGGGATAACTACTGAAATTAATAAATCCCCACCGTCTTTCTGTCTCGCAGTACTTTGTAAAGGCCTTCTACATGTCTGTGCAACAAGCAAAACCACTTGCAGCAGCTACACTGACAGAGAGGCTGCGGTGGACTGTTTCTCCGCCCTTTGACCAGCAATCAAGGCTGTTTACTCAGAACACACCTGACTATGTGCTTTAACAGGATATGTAGTGAGGGAAGTGCTACATGAGGCTTCAGCGGGCTAAAATTAGTTGAACAAATTGAAATTATTGATTTTGTTTGTCTTTTATTATTAACATGCTCATTTTAAAGCTGGAATTGGCTCCAGCCCCGACGACCCTGCACACAGTATAAGTAGTTGACGATGAGTGAGTTAGTATGCTCATTTAAAGTGCAAATATAGTCTTTAAATTGTGTTTTTAATTCTGCAACCAAAGGCACCTACAATTAGCAATTTTAGTATGTACAATCATCATATGAGCTTGTGTTTTGTTTTAATTTTAATGTACTGATTTATTCACCATTATTTTTTACAGGCTGCCACTGCGCCAAGTGATTTTATTAAGGCTGCCAGATTTTTGGCAGATAATCAGGAAAATTAATTTTAGATCAAAGTTCAAATTCCTCTTCACAAAAATAGTGGGATGAGACAAGTGAAAGATTAGCGCCTTCCCCCTCTGATAGCAACAACTAAGAAAAGCACCAACCCACAGAAAAGGTCAATAAATACAGATACTGGGTAAGTGTGTATGTGTTGAGCCTCCTGTAACCTTTAATTGCTGTACTTTTTTAAAATATTAATAATAATCAATAATACAGTGTTATTCCACCTGCCTTTTTAAAACTGGTAAAACAGCAGTCAAAAACCACAAGAGAAGAAAGAAAAGCCGCTCTCTGTTAACACCTTTGTTTGAAGCCCAACCACAGCAATGCTTAGGTTTCCTTGCACCATTTGTTTGTCATTGTGTATGCGTGTTTATTAATGTGTGAAAGTATACAGCAGGAAACGAAGTACATGAAAGTATTTACTCTAGGGGCTGGACACAGCATTGTTTCAGTGACTCATTTATTTAACAGTATGTTCATTGTTTGTGTGTCAAACCTCTAGCAACAGTATGAAGATTGACTGAATGTGTTTTTATGTGTCTTATGTCTTTTTGTGTGTGTAAGTACAAAACAGGACACAAAGTACATGACAGTATTTATTGCAGGGCTTTTGTTTTAAATGATATCTAAGATAAAAATTTATGGACTCAAAGGTATGAAGGTAACATTTTAGCAAAACAACTGAGTACCTGTCACACAAGTGTATCAGTAAATTTCAGTAACGTCACAGAGAAAAATACTTTAGGAGTTGCGAACTTTTGTCTCTCCCACAAACACAACAGTTGCATCTTTCAAATTCTTCACTGCAGGATATGAATTCTTGCAATAAGAGTTGCACACCTGGTTTTGGGGGTATTTTTTTTAACACGAACACAAGTCAATAACTATAACTGCTTGAATGTGCTGCTTCAGGTCACAAATGCACACAAGTTCAGCACTCTCTTGCACCATCTGTCTCAGTAAAATGTGGAGCACTGTTCAGAAATCAGCCAGTCAAAGGGCATCTGTGTCTATCGTTTTTCAAACCAGCTGAGATGAAACCTCACCCACCTCTATGACGAAAGCCTCAGTATATGACAGCTACAGTAGCTTGGAAAATAGCTGAGTGACTGAGAGGCAGAGAGGGCGGGTCATCATTGATGATTTGGTGCATCTGAATTGGCTGGCTCGCACAGTAGTCAAGATGGCTCCTCTGTCTTTGTGAATCACTGCAAATGGCTGCACACACCTTTTTTTAAATGCATGGAAATCAAATAGATCAATTATATCCCTGTTTAACTAAATGGTAACAATGGACTTAGGCCCATACACTGTATCTAAAATGACTACTTATGTGATGAAATAAATGGTTGTACTAAATATTATCTTCTTTTGTCATCAGGATGGCAGTGAGGTAATCAGAGAGCAACTACTAATGTTTTGATCAAATTTAATCCAACCCCCAACTCTAGAAGTGTTGAAGCCACAAAGCTTTCAGTTTTATGTTTAGAGCTAATTTAACAGCAGGCAGTTTTGATTTACATATCTTACATCCATTAAATGTAAATGCTTGGACAAAGAAATACATAAAGCAACAGTCATATTCATCCAATGTGAATGTTTCCTGCCAAGCAGTGTGCCATTTGTGTATCATGATGAAAGCTTTACCTTGACTTTAAAGGCCCTACACAACCACATGTGTTTCCAGTTACCCTGTCTGATTAGACCTTCAGTCAGGTGGAAGGTGGGTGAAAGGAATTACATGATGTCATCAAACTCCCGACGAGTTATGCTGCATACCAGACAATTTGGAACTCGAAAATCTCCAACCTCTACTAGTAAAACTATAATGGAACACCACTCAAACGAATAGAAGGGTGAGTTTATTTCAGTCAAATGCAGTTTGTACACGCCCACACAGTTCTGAGAAGTGGTCTAATTAAACAACAAGTGAAAACTAATGCGTGGCTTGACTTTTAAGTGTGCAGGGTTATCATAGTTAATTTGCCATCACCATGTTAAATTTCTAACCTAATAGTTTTAGTCACCTTCCAATAACCAAATGAAAACTGGCATTGAACATTTGAAATGTTCACCACTGAAGATAAGGTTTTGTTTAGCAAGATGTATTTGTACTTATTTTGATTTGATTGTTAGTTTGGCTGGATTATTGCAGCAAACAATGACAGTAGTTAGTAAATTATGACCCATGAATCACTAAAAACATATCACATGCTATCTATTTTAGGTTTTATGGAAACCAGGGTACTACCCCAACAAATATGTCGCAACAGTAAACGCCAAAAACAGAAAAATGTGCTGTACTGTGTCATATTGTCTTCCTGTCTTCTGTTAAGGGAAATTCTCAAGATAAAATGACATGTCATTTAGGGTAATATACTGTATGCGTGTGTCCTGAACAGCAGGACCATAGTAATAAGCATCACCAGAAAAGTCCTTCCACATATTTTTTTAATATAAAGAAAAATGAACCAGATTGTTTTGGATTACACCTCTTGTGTTTCATTGTCAGTTGTATAAAACACACCATGAAACAAAAGCTTGATGTTGGTGTTGTTTCATGTGTCTAGGTTGGAAAGAAATTATTTCCACTGTGGTAGAGCAGTGACATGCCAACATAATGACAGGCCAATCAAATTGCTCTGAAATTGTTCCCTCCCACTTGATATGATTACATTAAGGCAAATCTTCCTCTAATACGGTCTAATTTAACTGCAATCACAAGTCGATTAACCAGAAAATGCTGATCGTACTTTATTCACTGCTGATGTTTACAGTGGGGAGTAAGTATATAAAGTCATATTTTTTCCATATACAGTATATTTGAAGTATATTTTTGTGTTCTTGCATCAGCTTAGCAGAGTACATATATGAATCTATATCTGTTGTCAATCACTGCTCTATTTTATTTTATTTTTAGGATGCACAGATGATCAGAACTTTGTGACAAAGACTGTTGGAGAAGACGTGACTTTGACGTGTACCCGCCAGAAATCAAACTTGTCCCAAGCAACTCTGTTTTGGATCAGACTTGTTTCTGGAAACTTTCCTGAATTCTAGTAGTAAATTATGACCCATGAATCACTAAAAACATATCACATGCTATCTATTTTAGGTTTTATGGAAACCAGGGTACTACCCCAACAAATATGTCGCAACAGTAAACGCCAAAAACAGAAAAATGTGCTGTACTGTGTCATATTGTCTTCCTGTCTTCTGTTAAGGGAAATTCTCAAGATAAAATGACATGTCATTTAGGGTAATATACTGTATGCGTGTGTCCTGAACAGCAGGACCATAGTAATAAGCATCACCAGAAAAGTCCTTCCACATATTTTTTTAATATAAAGAAAAATGAACCAGATTGTTTTGGATTACACCTCTTGTGTTTCATTGTCAGTTGTATAAAACACACCATGAAACAAAAGCTTGATGTTGGTGTTGTTTCATGTGTCTAGGTTGGAAAGAAATTATTTCCACTGTGGTAGAGCAGTGACATGCCAACATAATGACAGGCCAATCAAATTGCTCTGAAATTGTTCCCTCCCACTTGATATGATTACATTAAGGCAAATCTTCCTCTAATACGGTCTAATTTAACTGCAATCACAAGTCGATTAACCAGAAAATGCTGATCGTACTTTATTCACTGCTGATGTTTACAGTGGGGAGTAAGTATATAAAGTCATATTTTTTCCATATACAGTATATTTGAAGTATATTTTTGTGTTCTTGCATCAGCTTAGCAGAGTACATATATGAATCTATATCTGTTGTCAATCACTGCTCTATTTTATTTTATTTTTAGGATGCACAGATGATCAGAACTTTGTGACAAAGACTGTTGGAGAAGACGTGACTTTGACGTGTACCCGCCAGAAATCAAACTTGTCCCAAGCAACTCTGTTTTGGATCAGACTTGTTTCTGGAAACTTTCCTGAATTCTTGGGAGGAACATTTGACTTTGATTATGATGGTGTTAATGAGACTTCTCGCATTACAGCAAAACAAGAGCCTGGAACCTTTCTTCTCCATATTAGTAAAACAAACTTAAGTGACACTGGAGTTTACTACTGTATAAAAGTAGATGAACTTGACATAACATTTGTGAAAGGAACATTTCTAAGAATTAAAGGTAAACATCCTGTATGAGTGCAGGTTTTATAGTTTATTTTCATACATGTATGAATAAAGATAGGTCAAGTTTCCATAATTTATATAAAAGTGTTATGTATATATTTTCATGAAAGTAAGTAAAGCATGTTCGTGTTCACGTTTATATTTCCCAGGACCAGAACCAGATGTCACTGCAGTGATTCAAGTGCCTCCATCTGATCCGGTCCATCCAGGAGACTCAGTGACTCTGCAGTGTTCAGTCCTCTCTCACTCTGAGAACAAAACATGCCAAGGAGAACACAGTGTGTACTGGTTCAGAGTCGGATCAGATGAGTCTCATCCCAGTGTCATTTATGCTCATAGAAACAGTGGTGATGAATGTCAGAAAAGTCCTGAGACTCGCTATCCACAGAAATGTGTCTACAATTTCTCCAAGAACATCAGCTCCTCTGATGCTGGGACGTATTACTGTGCTGTGGCCACATGTGGGGAAATATTGTTTGGAAATGGAACAAAACTGGACACTGAAGGTATAATAACATTTTTATCTGGTAAAATCCATTATGATCATATTTTGGTTCAGGCTTATTTCTAAAAACTTGCCTGAATTCTAGAGAAGAACATTTGATATTGATTTTGATGTGGTTAATAAGACAGACATTACAGAAAAACAAGAGCCTAGAGCATTTCTCCTGTATAATTATAAAATTAAGCGACACTAAGCAATACTGGAGATTACTACTATATAAAAGTAATCCAACACATTTGTTCCTCATGCAGTGTCACATTATCAAAATAAAAGGCAACTTTCATAATAGTTAACTTTCATTATTTTCATGTTGTTTCAGCACTCAATATGTGGGATTTGCAGAAGGCCAAAAAAGTTATGTTTCTGTTGTGTGCAGCTTTGGCTATAAGTCTGATTGTTATTGTCTTTCTGATTTATATCATCAAGAAAACATCTTGTGGTTGTTGCAACGGTAAATGATTTTTCTCACACATCAACCTATTAAAACAGTATTTTGCTAAAGCTAATTTCACATGATTTATATTACTGATTTGTGTAAACGTATAGCATCTTTAATCTTAAATCTCTGTTTTTGTTTTATAACACAGCTGTCAGTGCTCTGCGAACAAATGCTGCTACAGCCAGTGGAGATCAACACAATCAACAGGTACGGTATATAAAGAAAAGATGACTCTGAAAACATTATTGGCTTATTTTTCTCTAAACATATGTAAATGTTAATATCTGCCACCTCATAACATATTTCAATGTATTGTACATATTTCCTCAGAGAGAGGAGGAATCATTGGCTTATTCTGCACCAACCTTCACCAAGAGGAAAACTGGCAGAGCAGAGAGAAGCAATGTAAAAGCAGCAGATGGAGAGACAATCTACACTGATGTCAGGCCTTATGTGATGGATTAACAATCCACTTTGTGGGGAAATATACTTCACATCAATTTAACATCTGATATTGGTAGCCAACGTTTTATAGTTTTAATGGCAATGTGCATTACATAGCTGTAATTCTTTCTCTAAGTATAATAAATAATGCCAGCACTCAAACAGGGTTTTTGAAAGATTTAACTTGAAAGTGAAAGAGGGGTGAGGAAGGTTTCTTTTCTGTCTCTTTTGTCTGATTTTAAGACTGTCAATGCAATGCAAATACAAATTGTTCTGTGTGTATATCTGTTACTTCGTTCCTCAAAATACAAATTTGCATTAAATGAATAATTTAAAGTTTATACACAACTATACACATAAACAGTGCTGCAGTTGTTCTGTCTCTCTTCCTTTCTAACACACACACACACATGCACACATACACACATACATGCCATGCCACACATACGCACTGACGCCCCTAATGGTTACAATTTTGGATTTATTCATGTCATCATAATAGGCAAAAAAAAATAAAGGAGGGGAAATAGGGGAAGGAAGTGAACTGGGGAAGGAAACATTGAAAAGGTGGCATCATGTTAGCCCAGCGGTCGGATAATTAGCCTGGCATCGGACCAAATTTTTTTCAAGCCGTTACATTGCAGGTCTGAACAAAGTCCATCCATCCATCCATCGTCAACCGCTTATCCTGTGTACAGGGTCGCGAGGGGCTGGAGCCTATCCCAGCTGACATTGGGCGAAAGGCAGGGTACACCCTGGACAGGTCGCCAGTCCAACGCAGGGCCACACATAGACAGACAACAACTCACATCCACATTCACCATTACATTTATTTCAAATCTTTGTATATTTGTGGGCATGTATAGCTCAGTTAGTAATGTGCGGGACTCCTGTTTGGAAGGTTGTACGATCGATTCCAACTACCAGTGGGTATTTTTTATTCTTTGATTATAAGGACACTTTTGCACACAGACATTTATTTTCATTTCCTTGAGGAAATTCAAGGGAATCCAATCACGGCTTTTCCAGGTGTTTGTCAAGCAAGCCAGACACTGTGTCTCAATTCGCATACTTCCAGTAGTACACTTCGTACACTCTGTCTTTACTTGCATAGTGTGCACAAACTGGAAGTGACGATCGCAAGAGCTGACCGCTTCTTCTGCTGCTGCTTTTATTTCGGTCGGACAGATCATTACCTCCAACATTTAACTAGCGATGTGTGCCTGCCAAAATATCTACTGGCTTACGGCTACATTGTTGTGAATAAACCTTAATAAAAATGAACATTTTACTTTGACTTACTTGTGTATGCTCCCTGTTTCATGCGACATGGAAAGTTAGGCATCATTTTCGCCAACAAAGGATCCTACTATTGGCTGAAAACATACTGGTATGTTAATTTACACATTGGTTTTGTGATTTATAGAGTCCATTGACTACACTATTGCAGTGGAGCATTAATGTTACCCTTACTTCAAAGTTACCTAATAAACCCTCAACTAAAGTTGTAATTTTATGTGCTCTAGCCATACTGATAATTACATAAAAAAGCACAAATAACAGCTTTAAAGTAAATGTAATATCAACCATTACGTTACAGTTTTTTTCAATTGCTAAGATGCAATGGTCACAAGAGCCACTTTTTCAAAACTCTTCACACAGTCTGCATTACAAACATGCATCGTGGCCAAACAGTTAATCTGACCTCCATGAGTCACTCAAACCACCAAAACACTTCGTACAAGTCTCAAAATAGACTCGTTCAACCAAAACACTGGCAACAATTCTCATTTAGAAAGCATACAGTCTCACTCATAACACACTGACCTACAAAACACTAAAAACAGGGAGCATTACATAAATGAAGAACTTTTATCTTTGATGCATGAGCAAATAAATTAGGTTTTCATTATACAATAACAATAACTTATTTTCACACGGTACTAAAGTATATGTAACAAGAATGCATCCATATCTGTCGATAGTATTGTTAACTGTGAAAAATGTTACTGTAAATTGAAACAACCCCCCCCCCCACAAATTTCTGAAATTCCAGGGCTGCAAACAGTAATACAAATAAGAAACACCTCAAAAACTCATCATGTACAGTACTTGAGGGTGCTAGTCCTCCCTCTCTGCTGCATTTGCCCACAAGTTCTCATCAACATCACATCTTATGTCTTCCCTGGCGATGTATCTTGGAAAGTATCTTCTGGAATTTCTAAACCAACCCTGGCAGTCTTCAGGAGAAGTGCCTTCCACTTCCCGCATTCATGGCATCCAGTAAGGTCATCTGGTCATGTGGATGGTGGTCATTCACCTTCCAACTCCATACAGAGAAAAACTCCTCTATGGGGTTTCGGAAGGGGGAGTATGGAGGCAGGAAGAGTACTGACATCCTGGGATGTGCAGGGAACCAGTCTGTAACTGCAGCAGAGTGGTGGAATTCCACATTATCCCACACAACAACAAAGATAGGGGAGTTTCTTGCTCCTCTCCTCCGCTGGTGCAAGGCGATTATGCAGGTCATCCAGGAAAGACATGAGCCTCTCCTTGTTGTAGGGGCCAATGAGTGCTTTGTGTAACAACAAACCATAATTGGACAGTGCTGCACACATCGTGATGTTAGCTCCTCTCTGCCCTGGGACATCCACGGTTGCTGTCTGTCCAATCACATTTCTTCATGTGCAACTGCATGTTTTTGCCAGGTTGAATCCAGCTTCATCCACAAAGATGAATGTATGTGCAGTTCCCTGGTTTCCAGCTCCATTACTCTCTAAAATATTGTAAATACACAGTTTTACAGGACTTCACATTATGCATAACTGTGCATGTTCCCTGATTGATTATTGAACAGACATCTTACCTGGACATATTGATGACGGAGTTCTTTCACACATTCACAGTTTCTCTCGAATGGTACAGTGTACAACTGCTTCGTCCTTATTTTATGTTTCTCCAGGACTCTGGCAATTGTGCTGACCAAATTCACATTTCCAAAAGTGATATTGCCTGCCTTCTAAGATTTTCTACTTAAATTTTTATTTCTATTTCAATCTGGTCACTGCAGAAATGCAGTACATTTACCATCAATCTGTTTTGAATTTGTTTTTAACAGTTTTGGACATAGTGTGCTAGCATTTGAAAAATGTGCTGCAGATATACAGTGCTTAGCAGGTGGTGAAGTAGTAATGAGAAAAGAGTTCATGAATTTTGGAGAAAGGGGTCATTGAATGCATTTTGTGTGAAATCAATGAAAAATGATTCACAGTTTGGTCCACATACACTTCTGTTGCGCTGACTGTCTTATGAGTTTTGACAATGTGACTTCAGTTTTGACCAACGCAGGTTAGCAATTGAAAAAAACTGTAAGTCATAATTGTCTATTTTAAGTGGTTTTTTTACATCAACATACAATGAAAATATAAATAAAAGCAGAGACAACAGAATAGATATGAAAAAATTCTGTTCTGGCCCAATATAAATAATATATATATATATTTAGAGACTTATATTCATGTATATACCAATGTATTTTTTGTCATTAAAAGTTCAATATAAAGGAGAATACATACTGAAACACTCGTTGAAATAAACTGAATAGAATTTTATTGAAGATATTTATGTTATATGCTTTTTACTTATTCATTGCACCATCACCAGCCCCAGTGTTTTGTCCAGAGCCTTTAAAATGCCCCGAGCCACAGTGCACAAGACTAGTCCGAAAGTCCTCTGTATCCTTCCTCAGGTCATCCACTTTCCTTCTCAGGAAGATTTGCCTCACCTCTGTGCAGGTTTTGCACGTTTGGCTGGGTTGGCAGTTTTCAGACAGGTAGTTGGCAGCGTTGATGGCTGCCACGTCTGTGTGAAGCCACCAACAGAGGACACAGCCTGTTACCTGAATAGAAAATTATTCTATTCTGTTCAATTTCAGGCTGTCTGTGACCAGAAAGCCAAGTTCATGGATGTTTTTATTGGTATCCCTGGGTCAGTGCATGACTCAATGGTGTTAAAGCTAAGCACCTCTGGAGGTGGATGTCATATATGTCCTGGAGGTCATCGCCTGCTGCACTGTCCTGCACCACATCTGTCTCAGCAATGGGGACCTCTTGGAGCCAGATGATGTTGATGTGGAGGGAGCAGCAGGAGACAACCCAGAACCAGCACCTCCAGACGCCATCTGTGGAGCAGAGGACAGGCACAGGATGGCAATGCTGTGTTATGTCATGATTATTGTCATAATTATGCCCGTTAATGCTGATTGAACATTCACAGTATTGCTGTAGTTGTTAAGCTACAATTCATTCAAAATGTTCTTTTATACATTCTTCTTGTATTTAAATGTTCTTTCATGTATTTTCACATCTAATGTTTTACATCAAGCCCTTGGAAGTGCCTTGTTGTTGGAATGTGTTACACGAATAACCTTACCTTACCATGTGTAAACATTTGTGATTAACTAAAGATCTAGAAAAACAATAACGAAAGGCAGATCATGAGCAATTTGTTCAGCAATTTTTCCAAGACTGCCACTGCCAGGAAGCGCTCTGCCCTAATAGCAGTCTCCCTATCTCTCCTCTCCTCTTTCCCTCATCTCTCTAAAAAAAACTCTCCTCCTTCTCCACTGCCTCACGGTGTCTTCACTCCTCTCTCTCAGCTGCTTCTCTGGCTATGGTCTCTTCTCTCTCTCCTGCCTTTGCCTCCATCTGCCTGAACTCGCCTCTTCCTCCTGGAGATCCCTCAGAGCATCCAGAACATCCAGCCGTCACCTTTTTGGGGTGGATGTTATGGTGTCCCCTTCTGGGGTCTCCGCAGAGTGGGGTTCTGGGAAGACGAGGCAATGAGGACAGATGGTGTTACAGATGGCCTGCCCCCAGTTGCCTCATCCATCAAACCATACCACTTCCAAGATGCAGCAGTGGCCTCACACCCCTCTGTGCTGACCCCAGTTCTGGGGCACTTCAGTTCCTGTGGAGAAAAAACAGCAAAAAACAAAACTAAAGCAGAGAAGCCCTCTAAATCAGATAAAAAATTTGTAATGTCAGCAGCTGTGGTTATGTGCTTAATATAAATAGCAGCAAGGGTTATCATAAACAATAAACTGAAATTTCAACAGTGGTGCTAATTCATTATTGGCGGTGACCGCTGCAGTATTAGACTGACATATTTGTAAGTTCCCTCTTCATCAACTCAAACTTTTCACATCCTCAGGGATGACTATTTAACCTCACAGGTACAGGTGTGAAAAGACAGTTAACCAACCTTGTATTTTGTTTGAGGTTCTCCCACTTTTTCTTAATGAAGCCTGGGGTTACCCTCCCCTCCAGGCCTCGACCAGAAATGTA